GAGCCCCCCCCCCCTCCCCCCCCAGATGTAAACTGTGTAAACTGATAAATAAGGTCATACGAGGTCAGGTCCCTGCCACTGGTCGGTTGCCTAGGTATTGAATTATTAGAGTCTGTACATTTTCACCCGTCACCCCTGCCCCGACGCCCCGCGGGGGTGTCGAGTGTACAAATCAAAGGCAGGGGTTCCTTTGATCTCCACATTTTATTTTTACGGTATTTTCACCCGTCATCCCGCCCGGGCAGGAGTGGCGGGTGAAAATACCCAGACTCGCTAATAAATGAATACCAAGGGCGATGCGCGACCGGGGCAGGGACCTGACCTCGTATGACCTTATTTATTAGTTTACACACTGGGGGTCCCCTAGAGCAATCCCTGACCCGACCTCTGGGTCCCAACACATATAAAAACTCTGTGAAGAACTTTGGGCCCAGGGTGCCAACAAAGAGCTCCTTCGATTACAGGCCAGCTCATCGCTTCTGTTTTGCTTCCCTTTAGAATGCTCTTCTTGTAGTTTGAAATTGTAAACAATGAATTGCAAACATATTTTCGAGTTACAGGCTCCGACGAAGGCGATTCCGCCGAAACGTAAGCCGCGTGTATAGAGTATTATTAACAATCTCGGAGGCTGGTACAACTATCGGGGAATCATACTGTTAGGGCAGCCTTCTTATTAGGACATGTTGAATGTCATACTTTATGTATGAAATCCAAAGTAGAGTGGGTAAGTGGAGAGCTACAGCGATATAGTCGAGTATCAGCAATCTTTTGGAGGCAGGGTTCACGATTAAAATGGTTACTGAGTTCTTCCTTCAGAAATACCCAATGGCCCCCGAATGTAAAAAGAGGGACCCTCTCGGGCCCAAAAACTCGGCGGTTAGGGCATAATGAAGCCTGTTCCCGGCTCGGGCGGCCTTCCTGCCCCTCGACCGATGCCACGTCAGACGAGTGTCGAGTCGAAAAGATTGCGAATTTTCGCTCATAGACCCACACACAATCAGCTAGTCGCCGAGTGGTGAGGCGATGTTTTCCTCCAATTCTTTTGTTCTCTGTTATTCGTTTTGCCGTGGCAATTCCTAACTTAACTTTCTACCAAAGGAGGCTGAAAAGGTAGGCTATCTTTTGGTTTTACTGAGGTTTTTTTTAAACTTTGCTATTGAGTGAATTGGTTTTTGCTAACCGTCGTCAGCTTTTTGCACCAGGACCCACACGTGAGCACTGACACGTTGTATAGTTCATTCGAACGCCCCATTCTTTCTCATTTTTCTGGTCTCATTATCACGCAGCCCCTTTTTGAAGCCTTTTTCATTTTGCAAACGCCGAATCGCGCACTTTCTTCACCTTCAACGCACTACTTTCAACCTTATTTTCCATTTTTCGTCATGATCTGGATGACTCGAAATTATAGTGAACTGTGCGTTTAAGCCAGACTTTCTAATGAGTATTTAGGGATAAAAATTCCCAAAGCCTTCGTGTTTAAAAATGTGATATCAGATGTATTATATTAAAGTAAAGTTCACCTCCCATAGTTCCTCATTTGGCGTGTCATACAGCTCTTCTTCTAATAGCACACCAGTATAGTGCCATATCCTGAATAATAAACTATTAAATCCATCCAGAAAAAAGCAGGTTATCTGCATAGTACTATTCTCCCCCAAGAAGACGTCAACAGATCGATCCCACTATTTATAGTTGTGGTGAATGATGTGAGACGCCTTCTGCGACGTTGCTTATTACCACAATATATAATGCCACTCAACAGTAGCACTTTAACCCCTTGACGACAATGCAAATTTCGACGTGGTAAGCCCATAAGACCGTGCACCCTTTTTTTAATGCGCGACTAGCACCCACATGTAGGTAACATGAGAAAGTCCACTCATCAGCTTGCTAATTTTAACAATATCATCCATATAGGGAAGTATCAAGAACCTATTTTATAAATTACATATAACGGGGCTTAGGATTTGGGTTTGGAAGCAATGTAAGCTAGGATTTTGGAATTTCGAAGGCAGTAGCATTCTAAAGGTGAATAACATTCGGGGCTCTTGATGATCAATTTACGCTTTGCAACTGCCATGCTGAAACCGACCGGGCAGTACATGTTCGCAGATCTGGGCTATACTGTCTGAATACATCCAGGATGTTCAAAGCTCTTACAAAAGCAACTAGAATTTTTCAGTAGTACCCCATTTACTACATATGTTTGTGATAAATAAGCCATTATAAAACACTGATCAATTTTCATACGTGCGAAGAAACAAAAAACTATGGTGGAACCCAACATTGGCTGCCACTGTCTCATATGGCAGTCATAGTGGCACCCACCGATGGGTGCCGCTGTCGTCAAATGGTTAGTAAAGCTTTTCAGCGTTTCTAAGAATCTAACTGATCGTGCTTTCTTCTTTGATTCCTATAAGCAAACGCTGAGTTCTATCAGAGACCGCACGTTCATTGAATAAAAAATGGGTGAAGGTTCTCACCAGGGAGGGGTAGTCTACTTATCTTGGAACTTTGAATT